GCATCGAGACCATCTCTAAAGGGAGGAGCTTGCAAATTTCTTGAAAAAATGCAAAGTGACCGTTGGCCCTGCTCTCGACGGTTCTCCCACCTGATGATCGATAGCGTCGTTAATTCTTGTACATCGGGCCATATACATGGCGAATATACGAGGAAATGGCCACGCTGATATAACCCCTCCCCCTTCCTCCCCTTTTCCTCATAGTGTTGTTGAAGTTGTATCTACTAGTAATGATTTTACCCTCAAACTTCTTCAAAACTGCCGATCGAGGGGAGGGCAGAGTATGTGTCACTGCTGAAATTTTTATATTCAGCCACTATTTTGTTTCCCCTATCCTTCACTACCCGCATCCTCAAAATCCCAAAAACGACACCCTTCTCCCACCAAACCCAGTGGGAATCCTCAGCTGTGGTTCACCTTGCCACCTTCTCCTCTTCTCACCAAGCACTCACCTTGGCTATTTCGAGTGCTTTTTTCTTGTCGGGCCCTTCGAAATCCATGAGCGTGTCCTTTGGTGTGTCATCACAGGATGTCAGAAGCAAATCATTCCATAATGGTGAATCTGAATAGCAAAACTTAGAAAGCATCGCTAAAAGGGTCAAGAAAAATGTCCACCTGGTGCTCCTCCTTCAGCCAACATCCGCTGTACAAGAATAGCGAATGGAGATCCGCACAGGGTTGCATCGCCGCTGGCAGCTCGCAAAAAGTACAGCCATTTCTCCTTTTCTTCACTGCTCCTCAGCACTATGTAAATTGGATCCTCATTAGCCATCTGAATTAATATTTAACGTGTCGGTTAAGCCGTGCTAAGGTTGAATGGGTGAACATACCTCAATGCTAAGGCTGTAAGTGTCCTTTTTATTTGACTGTGAATTTTTGTCAGGATTTTGCTCGTCGCTACTGCCGCTGTACTCATCCGATGACATTTTCTGCTTGTCCATTATTCGAGCTCCTTTCAACTGAGTGAAACCACACGGAACCTAGAAACGAGTACAAATTGGAGCGAAAGCATCACGAAAAGCTCGCCATCCTGGGAGAGTTAACAAAAGTCCTTTTGGAGGAAGCCACGAGCAAAGCACCGCAATGCGCAGCGGCACCACTGTACACAGTGCGGGTCCTTTTGATACGAGCCGTTGACAGAAAGCTTCGGGAACCGGCTTTTTTTGCCTTCTCGGAGAAGTGTCTCACTTACCGTATCCTCGGAGTTTTTGAAGAACATAAGTTTGTGTCGGACCAGAGAAGCATAGACTCGTTTCGAATGACCGCATCGAACTCTCGTCATCCAACCGCTGATAGACGCCTCCACCGGAGCACAACGAGTGGCCAGATCTCTCAAGGTTGACCCTGAAAATTGTGACGGTTATCCACCTTTCACGTTCTTGCAAGCCACTATAGAATCCCCTCGTGTAACGATTGCAGCTTCATACACAACATAACTACGGTATTCGGTATTCAGAAGTAATAGGTGGAGCGTATTGAGGAACGAGCAGCCAAAATATAGTGTACGAATCGCTGAAATATTTTATCAAGCGCCCTGTTTCTGGCAATCCGTGGCTTCCCTGTTAGACTTAGCAAGCATCATCGTAACCAATAATTTCTATAACAAGTGGTCGCGGATTCTGACATCAGCTTTGGAATATACCTTTGAGTGAAAGATGGGCAAAGATCCTATGCGATCATTGGCTGATAGATCCGACTCCGAAGAACTATGCGAACAGGAGAATAACTATAAGACGCTGGAAGCGCTTTCGAGCAGGGCCAACTTAGACCAAGTTAACCCTTTCTGCCCTGGCCGTGGCAATTGCCCCTATCAAATCCAAATGTTTGCATTGCCGCTGAAACAGCATGGTTTTTCTAATCCTGCTAGAGGTTGCTTCAGTCAACCTTCCCCTTCCTAATTATGAGCTAAACCTGCCATTTCATTGTGTGTTGCTGTTAGTATTACAAGTATTTGTGTACAAGTGCAACAATGAATCGGCGCTGACCCCCGCAACCGGCCAAGTAAGTGTGACTTTTTCTTAAAATACTTGAAGTAGATCCATTCCTAAATCAAAATTATGGGTTATAATGTTGTGCAAGATTATAAACTTTTTCGGCATAACTATGAAATTTGGAATTGTTTCGACATAAGCTTAAAAACTAAGAAGGTGGGCCAATTTTCAAAGCTTCTTAGTTTCTTTGTTTGTGATCGAATAGCTTCCAAATTTCGCCATAATGTTATATATACCCAAGTAATAATCGTATAACTT